GCTTCAGTGTAGAACAAATGGAGTAGCCGGAACAGTTGACGAAAACAAGCTACTAGGTTACTAGGCACATGGAGGGCGTAAACACACGGATAACAAAGGACCGCGTTACGGTTACAAAAACTCCTTCCAGAGAATTCAGAATGGCAGTCGGCGAACGTACGTAAGCTTTCGATAAATTCTCATCGGGCCAGTATATGTTCAACGGGGTACAAGTTAAAACAGGTCGTCAGTTATGTTCTCCATTTCACGCAATTGAGTTATGAGAATAAGGGTCGACAGGAGTGGGCTCGTTACGCAGCACTGAGGGTTTGGTGGAGTCGACACAGAGGAGGGGAGAGAGAGAGCGGGAAGTATGCAGGCAGGTAAGCGACCGTTGGCCATGGCAGGTGCAGAGCTTGCAAGAGGTACTTTTGTGCACACAAGACCAGCTTCTTCAGTGTGATAGCGGTCGATTCTGCTGTTGGCTGACAGACCCCGTTCCCACAGATAAAATAAGCAGCGCCATTCTCGTGCACGTTGTTGATTCCGGACACCGTGGGAGCCCCCTAACGAAGCTTTCCGGGTGAGTTATAAGGTCCCACCAAATTACCCGCAAACCTGAACGTCAGCGTCTGCTAGCGACAACGGAAGCGACCGCTATCAGTTTTAGGAAGTCGGTCTTGTGTGCAATAAAAGGGTCTCCTGAAAGTTCCGCGTCTGGCATGGCCGCAAGCGGTCGCTTAACTGCATGCACCCCTCCGCGCGTCCTCTCTCTCCTGGACTGAGTCCATCAAACTCTCACCACCGCGTGAACAGCCTTCTCTTATCGATCTCCACCCTCTCCTTCCCCCTTCCATGACTCATTTGCATGAAATGGCGAACATAGCTGATCACATGTTCTTCGTTCTGACGCCATTCCCGTATGAATGTAATGGCCCGATGCGAGTTTAGAGAAAGCTTACGCCACCTTGCCAACTGCTCTTCCGATAACAAAAGAATTGCGACGATTAAAGGCTAGCAAAATTGTGGGTCTCAGGGCGACGGATAATCAGAAAGGACGTGCTGCGAGCATGGAGCTAAAAAGTAACCCTACAATGTTGCACTAGTCTGGTTAAAATGGGTTAAATATACTGACAGGTTACAGTGGAAGAGTTTGCGCGTTTTTCGTCCCCTTAAAAAAGTCTTAATTGGCATATTTATAATACTTTCGGGAGGCGGAGGGAGTGGGGAGGCGTAGCATTAGAACATATTTACTTGGTGAACTGATATTGTTATAAGCCTAGACAGCTTTCGTAATTCCGGCCGCAAAGAAGAAGATGGAAGACCAGCATCGCAAGCTTATAGCCTCGCCACCCACAATGATCATTTTTGCAATTGAGCGAACCGAATGGCCGAATTCGGGGACAGAATTTTATAAGAGAAGGTTAGGTGTGTAGGTTGACCAATTATGGCACGTAAATTTCAATAAGTTATTGATAAATGGAGTGATTCCTGCATTGAAATGAATTCTTTTAAAATGATCTGCAACCAGGGAGTACATGCAATCACCAATGTCTTTCCCTGCATTACTGACCTCAATTAGTATCTGAACTAGGTGCCAGTTAATGGGTGAGGGATCAATACAGATACTCGTTCTTTTAATGACAAGGTAGGATGCTGAATGAATGCCACACTAACACATCTGAAGAATACGATATTTGGAGCATTAAAACTACTCAAATGTGTAGCAAAAGTCAAAAAACGCAAACTCGTACTAGTACCTCATCATAACTTGTTTTGTCAACCTTTAGACTGAATTTCCTTGCCGTCTATTTTTGTCAACATAACGATTTTGATATGAAAATAGATATATCCTGAGACTGATTGCGAAGCAATTACTTTTCACCTTCCAACGTACACTGAAAGCTAATGTTTAAGTCGAAAAACTCCAGTCTTTTGACGGCAGCCTAAGCACCAAGCTCCGCCATCTGAATAAGTAGAGATCAAGCGATGGCTCTGAAACCGCAATGTTTCCTTTTATCTGACGGATGAGAAAAGCTCAGTGCATTCACAATAACTTGTCTTTAATGGTATTTACCGACAAACGGAGAGCATACTCACGAAGGCCTTATCTGTCTCGTTGGACGGCATCAGGTGGTGGTAGTTCAACTCTAGTGTAGCAACGGAAATTGCCGCCACACTCGAGTTTTGAACCCGCGTCTCTCGGGTCAGAGGCGAACGCTCTACCTCTGAGCCACGGGTCCGCCGTGTTGTCGGTTTGTGATCGGGACTAGATAGTAATGGGAAGGGAAACATTCCGTGGGGCCCTCGCAGGCAGGGCAACTGTTATTCACAACTGTCTACTAGG